ATATATATATATATATATATATATATATATATATATATATATATATATATATATATATATATATATATATATATATATATATATATATATATACAAATGAGGACAATACACTCATTTTCACCTGAGCGACTGTGAGGAAAGTTGTGTAAAGTGCCTTTCCCAATGGCAGAAGATCGGTGGCATGTAAGGACTCGGACCCGGGACCTCTTGGTTCTGAGTCGAGCACTCTGCCCCCAACGTCAACCTGGCTTGATACTTAAGAATGGTTCTGTCTGAAGCGTAATAGGGCCCAACAGTGTGGGCAAGTTAAGTATTGTTTTTCTTTTTACTTACTTGAACACTTCAAATTTCTAGGCGGTGGCGGAGCCCAGTGCCCTCCATCTCGGCAAATGTAGACATCGTTTGGCGGCGTGGCGAATGAGTGCCCATCCTGGCAGAACAGCGAACACGTGGTTCCTGACAGGAAGTTGTCACACGAAACAGCTCCTTTGTCAGGAGCGTCAAGTGGAAGGCATGGGTTACCTGTTGAAAAAAAAACCAACAAGGTATCGTTTTATAAGCAGAACATATATATAGCTAGATTTTGCAATATTGAACGCCGTTTTCATTTCAGCTATTGAGTGTAGATTACAAGACCTAACTGGCCAAAAACGTTACGGTACATTCGGTCGACAGTACATCATGACTCAACACTCGTCAACATTGTAAGGCAAGTGGTCATTAACAATACCCTTTAGAATACAGACGTCGGCGTACCTGTAATGCTACCAAACGCCAGTTCTACACGCACACTTTTCTATTTACAAGGCGCTCACTAAACAGGGTATGAGAAAATCGTACAAGCATATTATTTTCGTTGCAATTGTCTTTCTGTGAGACACGTACGGAGTAAAATTCTGACGCAATGACCACTTAAATGAGGTACCTTGAATGTTGATTGTAAACAAGCACTCTCCTTCATTCCCTGCAGCATCGTATGCTTTACATGTGACTGTTTTTTCGCTGAAGTCATGGTTGGTGTTGGGTTCAGGATCACATGTCTGCGACACCACAGCTACGTTATCCTCCCAGATTGGTCTGCTGTACGTCAGTGTTCCTTCTGCATCGTAGATAGTTGTTGACTGTGGGCAGTATGTGGCAATGGGGAGTTCATTGTCTGGAAAGGCATAAGGTAAATTGTAATTGCATCTTAACTACTGTTAATCTTGTTGGCCTGGTAGGAAAGTCTCTTGATACATGTATATAAACGGTGTTATTCGTACGATTCTGAGGCAATAACATCTAACGACAAAGTATGTGTTACCCATCGTACATGGTTAAGAGATGATCCCGGGTTTCACTAAAGTGTTTCCCAAACTTATGGCATACATGAAAAATGTTATTTTACCACATCCTTTTTTACAAAGACATAACTTTTATCATCTTCAGAGGGAAGGTTCTGTTTTTTGTCGCCTTTGTTTGTAGGTATTCATGTATTTCGTTTTGCACCATAACTCAGGAACATCTGGGTAATGTGTTAAGATTTAGTGTGTTGTTAGAACTATATCTTTTGAAATAGTTAGATGTTCGGCCCCGGGCAGCTTTTCTTGGCATTACATGCTGTGCAACGTACGGTTTTGATATACTCCTTTAAACAACTTATGCTATTTGGATAGGAAAGGTCATTAACTGGTAAAATGTATGCAAATGAGATACATCTATAATATTTCATCCTTTAACGCGAAGGTATGATTAACTCGTGGAAACATTATTTTAAATGTAGATACCTTCAACAGTCACAGTAAAGCTGCACCCCGCTGTCCTACCAAAGTAGTCCCTTGTGTTGTAGCGTATTGTGTGGACCCCAGGCGTAAACTCCCGTGGTGGAACTGTACCAGCAGGGCTAACATCCACGATCAATGTAGCGCCTTAAAGACAAAGAAATTACAACCATGCCTTAACGGATGGTTATTATATAATAAGTTTTTTTTTAAGCCAACAGCAAATAATGTACTTCTGCCACATACATTCATCCCATTGTAATTCCCTTCCAAGTTTCATGAGAACTTCCAGGAGGCATTTTATACAGATTACTCATGGGAAAAACATTACTTGTTCATGGGTTCTTTTCACAATTATCATTTGTCCGAACATATCAAATAGAACGGATTCTTACGGTGCCCATCTACAGCTTCTGGCACGGCCCATGCCACATTAGCGGTAGATTTTCCAGCATCAGTTGGTAAGGTCATATCTGCTGGGCACGTAGAGCCGAAGTCAGGAGGTGGTACTTCTATGGCATGGAAAAAAAAATAGAAGTAAAAGCTTTAGATTAAGTCATGTGCATATAGGAGCAACATGATCACTACCACATATTATTCATTGTCGTCAGAGCAAGCTCAAGTTGCCATTATCATGGAACTAATTATTATATAATTCCTAGTTCATAGGAACGTATTACTAAAGACATATACGTATGCGAGATAGACGCGTACATGTACGACATGCTCTTTGTATTTGGCAAAATGAATAATATTTTTTTTTTAGTGAGAGTGCATATGATTCATGGAAGTTGACACACCTTCACAGGTTACGTTTGCCATGTCAAGAGACCATTCCCCATCGGAACGACACAACGTTGAAGAACCCTCCGCCCCACGCAGTTCGAATGCCCAGTCACACGTCAGGCTACACTGTGTGTTGAAGAACACGGCACCTTCTGTACATGCAGGCGGCTGGAACTCTCCATGGTCGGGTAGTCGGAGTGGTGGACAGGTCTTCACTGTCAAAGACAACCAAATTTAACGTTGGAAAGCAGGTCTCCATGTCATAACTAAGAGTTCCAAATTTGTAAAGGGGTATTTCGCACCATTCTCATTCTTCTCTGTATGCACCCAGACACTTGTGTGTGAAGGTGTAATTGCTGCAAAGATAATCATTGAATATTTACCCTCACATCGTGTTTGTTCCCCGCTCCATCTCCCGTCTGCCTGGCACTCTCTGACAGACGAGCCCACTATACTGTACCCTTCGTGGCAGTTGTACACCGCCGCTGAACCCAGCTGGTTACCGCAGCTGAGTCTCAACAAAACCCCATTTGGGGGACTGCTTGGCGGGACACAGGATACTCCTAATAGAGGATACAAAACACGTATGTAAGAGGGGTGGTCAACGGAAAATACGAGAGGATACTATCAGAAAAAGCATTTGCATGACACTAAGTGAAACGTTAAAAGGAGCAGAAAATCAAGAAGGGTGGAGAAAACTGCTTGTCAGATCATATGTGCACATGTCGTACATGTACGTGGTGACCTAATGGTGTATGCCTTTAACGTTAGGGTTTACTACCATCACATTAAAGGATTCGTAAGTCTTTGCATGCATTAGAAAAACATTCAGTCGTCCATTGTTGACTTTTACACCACTGTCACTATTGGTGTAAAGCCTAGGTCACAATTAAAAAGGGGCCCGCTCGGCCGTTTGCGGCCTGTTTTTTTGGCACTACCGTACGGAACCTGGACGGAGACTGACGGGGTTCCCAACGGCTGCCGGCCTATTTTTGGCCCCGTGCGGTCGCCGAATTGATTGTAATTCAAACTTAAAATCACTTCGGGCCCCGTCGGGCAATGTACGCCGAGGCCACGCCGTAACCTCGCCGGACCAAGCCGTAACCTAGCCGCCGGGTCCCGCCAGGCGGCCGCACAGGCACCTGTCAAAGATGACGTCACGTGTACTGATCTGTGCTTTAATCGTTCAGAAGAAGGGGGTTGTAGAGGGTATTGTGATGTTCTCGACATAGCTCCATCAACAGTGACCATACACGGGTCTGCGCATCAACCAGGGTCGAACCCACCATACCAGCCAGGGGCGTACCAGCCTGGGACCCGCCAGGATCGCCCCTGGACCCCACCAGGGACCCTGTAGCTGCCCGGCCGGAATGCAAAAGCCGGTCGGCACCCTGCCGCATCCCGCACAGGTCAAGACGGGAGACTGGTCGGGCACCGGACGGGTCCCTAACAGAAACCGGCCGTCAAAGGGACAAAAGTTTGTGAACGTTTTTAATAAAAGCCTTCTCAGCGCCCCAACAGGGAGCCGTAAAGGAACATTTACATGCCGAGAACATGCCGAGCAGGCCCCGTTTCAAATGTGACTCCAGCCTAAGTATGCTCTGTACTAAATGTGTGCAAAGTAAATTATGCTCATTTTTTATCACTGCTGACCTTGAACTTCGACATTAATGACGCACTCCATTGTGTTGCCAGAAGGGTCCGTCGCCTTGTACCGAAGTTGGTGTTCTCCAACAGGAAATGTAGTGGGTGACGAGACCACAGGTTTTTCCACCGTCACAGATCCGCTGTTGTCCAGGAAGGTTGGCGCTGTCCATGAGGCAGTGGCTTGGCCGGTGCAAGGGTCTTGGATAACCCGTATGGTCTCCTCTGGACACGTCTCTCCTAACGTTGGTGCAGCCACATCTGATAGAAGACGGGAGAAAAATATTATTAGCACGGCGAATGTTTATTAATTAGTGCTAAGAAGAGAAAGCAGTTTTTACAGTCACTGTGTTTAGTAAAAATCGGCGGGGGATCGAATTCAAAAATCTACCGAATGCATATTGCGCGCACTAAACCCGATTGGCCATTGCATCGGTTAGATTAGAAACGACTATATATTATAATAGATATCATTATTATATTCAATACAAATATTCAAATAGATTTTCCGGATAGGTGACATCATTATGTTTTTAGAAAAAAAAGGGTTAAAGGGAAGAAAATTAGAAAATTCACTCACCAAAGCAGCCGGGGCTCACATCTGGCATCCAGGTGCCATCAGCCGTACACGTAACTCTGGAGGACTCATTCAGGTGATAACCCTCCTGGCACTTAAACTCGCAAACCTCCCTAAATCTGCTAGTGTTGGTGCAGGAAGCTGGGCTGACATGTCCATCAACTGGCGGCATCAGGCCGGTACACGTAGGACCTGCAAGGACAGTGCATCTTTGTCACATCTAGCCGTTAAGACGAACGATGATTACGCGTTGAAACGTTTTGTCAAGAAAAGGGAAAACATGTATTGAGATGTGAATTAGTAACATATAAAACACACAGCTTTTATGTGTTCCCTACGCTTCATTAAACAACTTCTTACCAATACAGGTAAAGTTCCTATCCCATGTCCCAGATGGCAGGCATGCCATCCTGTGTACAGACCCGGGAGCGGCGATGTGATGTTCGCTGTCACAGGCGAGCGCACAGACCGTCCCTACTGGCTGTTCTTCTCCCGTCCGGCAGTCAGGATACGAGATACCGGCAGCCTCATCCATGGTCAAAGGTGGGCAGGTTACCTCTAACGTATACAGAAGTAAAATGGTCGATGGTAAGATTTTCAATACAGACTGTTGGCTTACATAATCGCATATCATACAATGCCAATTGAATATCTTTGCATAATGTATGGCAAATTGCCAATGCTACTGTTGTAGCTTTGGAGCAGTTATATCAAGATCAACAAACAGTACAGTATTTACCAACACATGAGGCGTTGCCCATCCAGGATAAGACGCCATCTCGAACTTCGCAGGTCATAACTGTTGACGTTGTCCGTGCGACCATGTACCCATGATCACATACCACGTCACAGCTGCTCCCCCAGTGGGTTTCACACGTCTCCGACACAGTGCCATGGTCAGGTGGTGTTGGAGCAGCGCACATTTTCACTGAAAATCAATGGACGTTGAAAACATATTTATTTTCTATATATTTCACATGCAATCACAATACGTGGTGACGGCACACTCAAGTTTTTTTTTCAACTTACATTAATGCCGTCATCAACACAGGGGACTCTTGGTTCCGAGTCGAGCCACACACGCCACACGGTCCCTCTAAGACATATGTGTATGTGCTATTTCAAATACTAAAGGAGAAAGAAAATTGCACCCTGAATTATACGTACATGTATATTGATATAAGCTGCACACGTGCACGTACATGTGAGAAAATGATACACACGAAAAAAATGTTTAAAATAATAAGGTTTCCAAATGATTTACCTTTTACAACAATACGGATCTGGCATTGCCCCACGTTTCCCTGCCCATCCGTCGCTGAAAACGTGACGTAGTGAGTTCCAGGAGGATATTCATCCATCTGGCCGGAGACGGACATGTCAAGCGTTTCCCCAGAGTTGTCAATAGCTGTAATGCCGAGCTCGGTCAGGTCCACAACTGCTGCCGCCGTCCCGTAGGGAGCGGTCACGACCACGTCTTCGGTTGTACAGGTGTTGTTAAAGTCTGGAGGCGCTATATCTGAAAATAGACACAGGATACGTCACCAATATTACACTCAGTCAAATATGGTAAACCATTGCACGAAACAAGAAGAAATGGTGTAAAATATCATTACGTTCTCTAGACTCAATTTCTAATGTCTCATGGCCAAGACATTTTGCATCAGGTGCGGTTATTACATGTATTTTGCACACCTTTACATTATAAAAGAATAGGCTATATATCTAATTGAACTCCGCCGTGCAAAACCTACCGTGGAGCCCAGTTGACCTGGGCATATACTGACCCAAAGGAGCCCGCCAAAACAACGATAGACTGGGCATCAAGCTAAAACATTTGGACAGGCAGTTTTACATCAGTTACGATTATTACCTGTTTTACGTACCTCTACATGTTACCAGAGTTATGTTTGCATCCCACTCTCCTGTTGGTAAACACGTCGCAAAGGTCGGGCCCTCCTCCACGTAACCTTCTCCACAGGAAAAGGCGCAGACATCAGCGTAGGTTGCGGATGTTGTGCAGGTGCTGGGTGAAATCCTTCCATGATTTGGGACAGTGAGAGGCGGGCAAGTCACCACTGTAAATGAGAAAATTCAAGTGTATGTGTAAGTTACTGCTTCTGTATGAAACAGGATAGGATAGCACAAATATATAAACATAAGATTCATACATGCCCTGTCAGGCTAAGTACAGACATACAAATATAAAAATATGACATACATAGCATTTTTCAACATTTTATAGTACAGTTAAGTAAGTTAGAAGATCCTTAAAGACCTACTTGTGCAATGAAGGTTTGACGTAGTCCAACTGCCGTCTGATTGACAGACTATGTCCTGCTCTTTCTCAGAAGGCCGATACCCTAGCTGACACGACACGGTGCATCTCGTGCCATAGTAGTGTGTACCAGCGGTAGCACAGGTAACTTGCTGACCCGCTTCCGTAGGTGGTGTTGGGCATAGTGTCCCTAAACAAAATGACAACGACAATTTCTAGAAATGTTTTCTGTAGGTAATTCCTCATGATGTACTACACACGCAAAAATAAAATTGCTCATCATGGGAGGAACATACTTTCGCACATCGGTGCTTCGAAGTCCCAGTCTCCATCATGTTGGCAGGTAAGTCGAGCTGACCCGATTAGACTGTACCCCATTTGACATTGGAAGTCACAGTTGTGCCCTTCTACGTTAAGACAGGAGCTGATGCTACCGTGTTCAGGCGCTAACAGAGACGGACACCTGGTAACTAGAAGAAATTTCTATTAGAAGCTTGTTTACACCAATTAAACATTTTTTCTAGAATCATACATTGCACTTATCAGAATAGTATTCCCAACCTACCTCAATTTCTAATTTGGCAGTTTTGCATGCAATTTATGTTTCAACGATCAGTCATATTTATTCATACATAGACGTGCCAAACTATATAGTCCAAGACAAGAAATTAACAAAAGATTTGGTGGCAATAATAGTCCTTTGCTATGATAAAAAACAGTCTACCTCCTTCACATGTAGTTGCATCATTAGATGAAATAATCGTTCCCGTTGGACAATCACAGGTCCTGCCAGAGGGGGTCGGCAGACAGAGGTTGCTACACCCGCCATTGTTCTGGGTACAGAGACTGTCTCCTATGATGCAAGATAATTACAAACGTCACAAAGCTTTAAAGATAGAGAAAGGCGGTATGAGTGTAATGAATTGGAAATATTGCTACAACATCAACAACAAGGGTCTAGAATAATAAAAAAAAAAAAAAAAATAATATATATATATATATATAT